TAGCCTAGGAAGAGCACATGTAAAGCAGCAAATGAAAATGAAATGTGAATGAATGTTAAAACTAAAATCATTCTTTGTTAAATACTTTGTCAAGTATTATTATTATTATTGTTGTTGTTGTTGTTGTTATTGTTATTGTTATTGTTATTATTGTTATTGTTATTATTATCATTATTAATATTGTCATTAATACATATTGGTTTTAAAAATAAAACAACTAGTTTTATTAATTATTAATTATGAGTTAATTACCTTATAAAAAGAAAAAAAAGAATAAAGATAACTAAACACTTCACCGTTATTTTAATAAGATTATTTTGTATAATACTTGACTAAGCGTACCCGATGTACCATTTCTTTTAATTATTCAGAAACGTATATTCAATTTTGATTATTTTTTTTTTTTTTCCAAGAAAATATTTTTGAAATATATCATAAATTTAAAATCCCTATTAATAATAACGTTACGGCCAATAGATAAAAAATTTATTATATATTACGCGATATATGTACGTCGGCTGTAAAAATGGTACAGGGTTCAGAGTGTTTGTTAAACAATAAGCAGGACTTACAACGCGCGCAGTACCCAGCGACACAAGTCTGGCGGCCTTTTTTACCTGTACGCCCAAACGGTGTTGAGTGTGACGACTTGTCTGCTTTACCAATGCACATATGAATTCAGATTGTAATTCAGGCTGGTCTATACATTGTTGCAATGCGTTTTGCGCTAATACCACATGGTAGTCTATGCCTGCTTGCTCTACTGCCACCGACATGAACAATTGACAAGCCTAAAGAGACAAAAATATCGATTTCATAATTTTTTTCTATATGTAACGTTATCGATATATGATATTCTTAAATTATGTAGTCTTAAACGTGTTTACCTTGAAAAGCTTGATGGCTTCAGTTTGCAAGGCTTCGGATGTCAAACTAGTCAATGGACTAGTGATATTTTCTTTTGTGTGTAGTAACAATGGGTGTCTCCAGAGTACACAGCTAGGATCCCCGTCGGTTTCCATCAATCTTTGCACTAATTGCTCGTATTGAGTTCCTGCATTAGGTCCACCTCCGGATACCACCGTCAAGTGATATAACCAATTGTCTTTATCTTGCTTATGGGGCATGAGCAAGTACGTAGGACCTTGATGAGTAGGAAAAATACCGATCGTTCTTTCATGCGGACATTCAGCGTCCCTTTCCTCGCTATCACTGTCGGACACGTGTTCGACCTCTTCTACTCTAGCATCTCTCATATTTATTTGTCCAATAGGATTCTAAAAGCAAAATAAAATAGAAGGATCGATAATATTTATACAATTTATTTTTAAATGATACGTTCTAAAATCGATGGCTTACCGTATCATTAGGGCACTTAAAGTAAAGGAACATTTTTCCGATGAGGACGCACCAACATTTCTTGGCGTGCCCGTTCTTCACTTTCGTCAACCATCCCTGTATCGTAGGCTTATTATCTTCTTTGCTGAGCAAAAGTTTCGTTGCATTTCGCCTTTGTACGTTTTGTAAAACTCTTATCCAATCTTCCATCGTTGCGATACAATCTGCCGTTAAATAATACGTTTTCTTGCCTGTTGCTATTTCAAATGTGGCCGCACCTTCCGCCCTATTTATCCTATTGAAAAAGTCATATTATTTATTTATCTGTATAACTTTAATATTAAAAAAATAGGAATATTTAAATAATTACCTGCACACTTCATCCAGCACAATTTGACCTTGAGGCTTTCGATTTACATCATTTTGACTTTTCCAATATGTGAGCACTCCATTCTTCAACACGAACCATCTTTTTCTCCAAGTTTTCAATTTACCACCGAGTTTTGCGAGATGGCCTGTCTTTTCCAACGATTCTTGTCGTTTTGGACTCTCACCAGAGACTCGCATTAACAAACTAGGCATGCTAGATTCAAGGGAGGTAGAGCTAAGAGCATCAGGAGGTATCGCATAATCTTCCGATAAACCAGATTCCAGAGAGGTGTCTACAAGCACGATAATAATCTCCAAATTGTCGGATGTACACAAATGCAAAACTTAAAAATTGTGGATAACATTTGAAATGCTTACCACGTTTCACGCTTTTGCTAGGAGAACCGCTGGAGCTTCTCTTGGCGGGACTAAGACTGCTTGTAGTTTTAACGCTCTTCGACGGACTACTTCCGCTACCAAGTGACGAGTCTGTGTTGTCCGATGAACTATTGGTAATCCTTGTATTGGTTTCCGTTTGATTAGGATGCTCTTCGCCATCCGAACTGTCATCAGAACTGTCGCCAAAAGGCATGGATCTAATTTGACTGGCTCGCCCTAAAAATCAAAAAAGGGTATATAAACATTTGATCTTTGAAAATTAACATTATTCGAGAAAAATAATAGAGATTTACCTTTGACTGTTGCGTAGACTGGAACTGAAATGTCGCAATAGCCTTGAGAATTGTGGGCAGTCAAGTTGTGTCCTGTCGCTTGGGAATGTTTCGACGAGCTGGTCGTATTGGTCATCGTGGAAGGTGCGGATTCCTCGTTCGTAGGTGGGCCGATGCCAAGCCCACCATCCGCTACCTATAATAGAATTTGCAAAATATAAATTCTATTTTCTTACATATTATAACAATTTTGTTTCTTACGAAACTCATTCATTTCGCAATACGGATATAAAACGATCCTTTACTTGATATATCTTTGCCTCCCAACTAGGAAATCGGTGCAGAGGCGGGGTAGGCGGTCGAGGACCCTGCGCGCTTTGAGCCCAATTCATCCCTTCTCTACTCGGTGTATAAATCTCCGCGTAATCGTGAATGGCCTCCGAACTTCCGCTGTCTCTGCTCGTCTCCGAGACTCCAGGTATATTCGGCAACATCACCAAATTTTCTACCGCCGCAGCGAGTTCTTCCGACAGTAAGCTAGAATGGAAAAAGAACGGCAAGCAATAAAACACGGAACTAATTCAACCGCATTCAAATCACTTCGATAAAAATATACCGATCAGCAATAGGCCTGTAACGATATACTATACGTGCCAATAAGAAGAAAAAATGAATGCAACCATATATTTTTTTTATATATATGTATATATATAAAAAGAAGAAGAAGAAGAAAAAAAAGCTTTAAATATTCGAATCGCAACGCGGGAGGAGACAAACTGGGTCGACAGATCCCCGCAGGAAGTCTCAGGACGTTACAGGGTACCACAATTTCGAGAGTCGGGCGCCGCTATCACGTCGTGAGACCTCCCAAGGAGAATCGAGACACATTTACGCGACGTTACAAGCCGATAAACGGCGCGCAAGCAGAAGCGAAAGAATTATATAGAGAATAAGCGGCGAGGTGTATACGTACATATGTATCAAGGTATAATAAGTATATAATAAGTATAAAGCGCGAAGCAAGTGTCGCGACGAGATTCTACCTTGAGTCCATGTTGGTGGTTGTAATTCCTCGTTGTATAGTTCCGCAAGCGGATAGGTGTCTTCGGTGCTTGGTGCCGGCTTGTGGTTCCGCTACAGAGCTCTGCACGCTTTCCGGTATAGCTTGCGGTGTTCCCTCCAAGCTTTCCGATCGTCTGCGTAACGTCGGGTCTACTTCCAAGGACAAAGACGCTCTCGTGGGTGCCTGGAATAGATTTTTTTTTTCACTTCAGAGAAAGAGATGTATCTTTTCGGAAGAAAGGAATTATTTTTTTCTTGAAAAAGATTTTTAAAGTTTGAAAAATCGATAAAACATAAGATACAAAAGAAATGAAAAATTTACAGGTGGTTTCAGGCCGATGTTGGTTATGTGATTTCTCAGTAATTCCAACTGTTGGTTACACTTGTTATTCTGTTCCCTTAGATGCTGGTTTTGCTGTTCCAATTCCCTCAGCTTATTGGTCACCCATTCTTTTATTCTCGCGGCTTTCGCCTCGACCTGTCTCGCGTCTTGAAGCCGTAACTGCCTCTGTAAAGTAATAATTATCGTTCGTAAATCGTCGATTTATCTCGGCCGAGATTTGATACGGTGAATCGTTTTATCACATTCCTCGTGACGCAATGCGACACGTTATCGGAACACTTATTCTGCAAAATAGCGCGTGAAACGAGATCCGCTCGGCGAATTCTCGGAGGGAAAAGTAACGGGATGACGCTATCGAGGCTCGAGAGGGGATTTCCAATTTCTTGGAGAACGATTCCAATCATTTTCATCGTTACCTGTTCCTCGACCTGTGTCTCTAGCTTCGAGATACAAGCACAATGGACATCCTCGATCTTGTCATTCTGCGTACCGGAAGTCGACGGCAGCGAATGCGGTGGAGAACCAACGCCGGATGTGCTCAAGCAATATTCACCCTTCACTAGCCGCTCCTCCATCATCCGTACCTGTAACAAATATTAATTCAATCATTTTATTTAACAAATTGATCATCCATTTCAAATTTATTCATCTTACGATCTTGTACCAATCTCATTTTTACAGATCGTTTTATCTAAATTTCATTTTTTAATTCACGATAATCTCTACTTCCGTTTCTACTTCCCTTCCTCCAAATATTCTCTTTCGATTCGAAACTAATCCACGCATCGATCCGTATCCATAAAATTTTCTCTGGAACAGGGTACTTTTCAACTGGAAAAATTGGACGGATTCTATGAATTTCGTTTCGGCTCGAAAAGCGTCATGCGAGCGTACCACGTTTCCGGCACGATCGAAGAAGCATGGCAGTCGCGGAGACGCGTGGCGTGAGATCGTCGAGTAAACAGCGATGACAAAGCGAGTGGAGAGAGTGGGAGAACGAGAAAGGGAGAAGAGAAAGAGAGAGAGAGAGAGAGACAAAGAGCGAGTGTTGCGAGTTGCGTGTGGACCTCGTGCGCCCCTTTTCTGGCACGATGATGGCAGTGCTCGTTTCGCAGCAGCTGTCAAAAATCGATATCCACGTTTACACAATGTGGATACGTAAGCGCTGCACTCTGTACGTCCGGTAAACCGGTAGTGAAACGAGAGAGACGGAGAGCGATATCGAGAAAATCAATACGCCAACGTAGAAATCCTCTGGCCCAATGTTTTCCTCCTTGTACCGCGTGTGAGTGCATGTGCTTCGCGACTCATATCGATCACCCTCCGCGTTTTCATTGTCGTCCTTGTTCACCGAGTCAAGAACCGCGGTTTCATCAAAACTTGATTCTTCTGTTTTTCTTAATTGAAAGAAATTGAAAGAGATCAAAAATGTGGAAAATGAATGGGAAAAAAAAAGAAAAAAAAAAGAATAGAATAAAAAGATACAACGAATTCTGTATCTTTAATAATGATAACTAGGATAATGATCGAAGCAAGATGTGTTGCAACGATGTTTTGCACGATGAGTAACAAAGCTGAGACACCGAGACAACGCTGGCAGAGCAGTATTAATAGCACCGTCATTCCATCGAATTATCTTCCCAGATATTTCAGCATTCTTCGATCCTCCACACACACACATATTGTATCACTGTAAATTGCATCTAGCCCACGTGCCGCATCGCTTCGTACAATTAAAAACCATCACACGCGAAATCGTATACGATGAATCGACTTATTCGCACTTTTCTTTCCCCTCGCAAACTTTTCCAAAAAAATCCGGATTTTAATTATCCCCTGTTACAAAGAAACTATTTAAAAGATCTAGAAGACTATGATCCCCTTACCCGAGCTACGAGTGGCCATGATAATCGATCGATGAGATAATCGACCAACGACCTTTCTTAAATCCTTTGTTCCTTTTTCTCCTCTCGAGGGCTCTCCCACGATTCTCGAGGACACTCCCACACACACAAGAACGAGGACAGGAACGAGATTTCCCTTCCCGGGTACGATATACAATCGCCTCTTCTCGAGGGATGCTCGCGTTGTCGATGATCGAACCGAACTGAACGAAACTAATGCGCGTAAACTGTACGGGCCTTTCCTGCGCCCGATGAGTCACGTTGGCTCACAGCCAATGACAGAATTCGTGGAGGTTCTGGTGCGTGCACACTCGCCACCCTTGGGTAACGTCACGGGCCGACAGTCGACGACAGACGGCCTCCTCTCTTCGGATCCTCCGCCGGATACGCACCAGCCTCCAACATGTCGGGGAGAAAACTAACGAAAACGCGACACAATCCGATCGCGGCCACGTTGCACGTCCACGTTCTTCAGATTTATCGATCTGCTTCCACGTTTGTATCTCGCAGGCCTGCGCTCGTTCCTCCTCGCCACGCGACACGTTTCTACACGATGGACGATCGTTCACGAGACGAGTCTTATAGCGATTGCTACGCTCTATGGGAGGGATGAGTTTTTCGACTGCGGACTTTTTCGCGTCGTTGATTCGATCCAATAGAATCGCGAACATCAACGAACGTGAAGGGAAAGGGATCATGGAATTTTTTTTCTTTTTCAAACCGAGATGAAAGTTATTCGGGATGGAGAGAGATATTCTATTGAGATATTGTAAAATTATTTGATCGATCCAACGGATCGAAGAATTTTTCTTCTAATTTTGAAGGGATGAACGTGAATGAAAAGTGTGCAGTTGGGAATATATCAGGAATTCGACAAATTAAATGGACTAAATGTGAAATTCGACCGTGTCTTTTTCGACGCTCGTCCAGCTCGGTGAATTTCAAAAGACTTTCGGAAGGAGGGAGATAAACTTGGAAGGACGGAGTTCTGTGTAATTCAGAAACAACCGAGTTCATCATTCGATCGATTCGAACGATTTCTTGAACACGTTCGAACTCTATCCGAAAGATTTATCGATTCGTTTCGCCGCTTGAAAGCGAAACGCCTAGAAATAATTCCACGAAGAGAATAATCGAATCTCATGCACCGATCTCATACACCTCCTTTCCGCCATTCAATTATTCTCACGTTCTTTTTTTTTTTTGTGAAACTTCCTCCCGGATCACGATAATATTCTATTGATATCGGATCGAAATGTTCGAGGGAATATCAAATTTCACATTAGATGCATCTAACGAAACTCTGAATCCCGAGCATTTTTTCTGGAGGATATCTTGGAGTATGGTTCAATGGCCAGAAAGGCCACTTTGTTTTTTCTTTTTTTTTCACGAAGGGGACGCGCTTGGGGAACAGAAGGGTTCCATTGGAGAGGCTGGTCCCCTTATCTTTTCACAGTGGTTCGACGCACGTGCGCGTACACGCGACAAAGCGGTATCACCTCTCACGGGTGCATCGTCGAATTATGGCTGGCTTCCCGCCAAAAGCAACCCGTGCAACGTGCACGTATACACGCAAAAACATTCATTCAGCTGCGTTCGTTCGAGGGAGACGACAGAAAGAGAGAGAGAAAAAAAAGAAAAAAAAAAGGGAACAGACGACCGCGGTTGGCTTAAATGGATCAACGACCGACGAACGCGTGAGAAATATGCAGTCGAGACTGAAGGGCTCGACATTGTAACGAGCGCATTTCCACGTTAATGAGGAATTGTGAATGACGATGAAGATTGAAGAATTTTCGGAATAAAGCCAAATGAAAATTTCGTGACGCGTCGAAAAAAATATTTAAAAGATACTCGAATGATAAACTTTACAACTATCTTCGATTTTAATTGAAAGTGAAATTCTGTCGAGCTCTTCTCAAGCCCTTCTATTTTCACTATGGAGTAATTTTCGCTCTCAAACGCACGAAAAATAATTCTCGAAAGCGTATTCTTTTTATTTTCTAAGACTATAATAGAAAAAAAATGTAAGAACAAAGTGGAAGAGTTAAGCGATGCGAAGACGAAGAAAGTTACGTGTCCGCGATGGGTCAAAAGAACATCGTTGAAAAGGCAGGCTGGAGGAGATCGAAGGGGGAGAAGAAACAGCAAGATTGGAACGGGTCCGGCGCCACAAACGCTTTGAAATATTTAAAGGAACTGTGCGCGGGGAAGAAAGAAAGGGGTACGGGTGCGCGTACCTTTATTTTGTTTGGTGCGCGGGTGCTCACGGGAAACGAGGATTACTCATGAATTGGCGTTAAGCCAATTCTATACGCGACACGTCCCGTCAAAGCGGGTCGTTAAGTCGACCCGCGTCCTCCAAGCCCCTCTTCGTCTCTTCCCTTGCGACACTTTGTGTCCACTCACACTTGCCTCGATCTCGTTTCGATTCAATCCTGATTCAAGCGCAAACGACCCTTCTCGTTAAACTTTCGATTCCAAGAATCGAACAGTCGTCGTCGACTTTGCTCCGCCCTTAGATAGACCATTTATCTTTATCATCCTCCCTTGTACCGTTAAAGGAAAATTACTTTACGCGCCGATCGACGGACACACCAGTGTTCCAAGTTAAGAATTCTCACTTACGATGAACGACACGATGTATTAAACGTATATACGTATATACGACTTAAGAGACGAAAAACGAGAGACGTAATCGGCTCGAATGAAACGAAACGAAAAGAAGGACAGTGCACGCGACAAGTGTACAAGTGTATCGACGTCAATCGATGCCTCGAAGGCGCTAACTACCAAAAACTAAAACGAAATCGATGAGGGGGTATATAAGTATATAGCGTGGACACAGCGTGTCGTGACAGGTTTACCTTTCATCGGTGTCACCTGCCGGGCTCCATAATTCTCGTGAACGCGGTGGTTGGTCGACGCCGCTGCCCCGGTCGCGATCCTCCTCCC